ATGGATCAAGTATAGGTGTGTAGCATGGAAATAACATGAAGTGTGGTTGGGAATAGAATGTATATTTCTAACTGGTCCACCTTGAGATCAATAATGTGACTGTAAGAGTACATAAAACTTTAAACTTTATTTCTGCAGAAAATAACCTTAAAAATTGAATTAACTAAATATAGAAACATTACAAACTCCCACTAAAACTCATAATCCTCAATTGATTTGACACCCATTTGAGCAACATGCTCATGAAACACTTTGGGTGGCAATCCTTTAGTGAGCGGATCCTCAATCATGGAGTGTGTGCTAATGTGTTCTATAGATAACTTTCCTTCTTGTACTCCTTTTTTAATAGCTTTAAATTTGATTCCAACGTGCTTTGCCTTGGTCAAAGGTACTGTTGTTCCTTGCATAGAGGATTGTTGACCTATTGTCACACAACAACTTAAGTGGTCTTTCAATGCTGTCCACTATGCGCAGTCCACCAACAAAATCTCACAACCATAATGCCTGATTGGATGCCTCATAACATGCTATAAACTCTGCTTCCATAGCGGAAGTAGCTGTAAGAGTCTGCTTGATACTCCTCCAGGAGATAGCTCCTCCAGCTAGAATATAGATGTAGCCTGAAGTGGATCTCAAGCTATCTTGACATCCAACAAAATCAGAGTCGGTATTACCCAATGATCTCAAGTCGATCCGATCTCCGATATGTGAGCATATATTCCTTTATTCTCTGTAAATACCGCATGACCCTTTTGGCTGCTTTCCAATGGTCAATTCCTGGATTGCTCAAATATCTACCTAACATCCCAAAAATGTATGCCAAATCAGGTCTTGTACAATCTTGAGCATACAAACTTCCTACAGCCGAAGCATAAGGAATGTTACTCATTTCTTAGATTCAAAATCATTCTTAGGGCACTGCATGAGACTAAACTTGTCTCCCTTAGAAATTGGGGTATCTCCTGTTTTGCAGCCTTGCATGCCAAACCTTTTGAGAACCTTATCGATATAGCTCTTTTGTGAGAGTCCAAGAACGCCTTTAATTTGGAGCGATCTCGGTGTATTTGAATTTCTATTAAAAAAGAAGCCTTACAAAGATCTTTCATTTCAAAATTCTTTGAAAGAAATATCTTAGTTTCGTGCAATAAGCCTATATCGTTGCTAGCAAGCAGTATATCATCAACATACAAGACCAGGAAAATATGCTTACTCCCATTGAACTTGTGGTATATACAATCATCATTAACATTTGGTTGAAAACCAAAATATATAATGAATTTATGAAACTTATGATACCACTGACGGGAAGCTTGCTTGAGCCCATAGATGAATTTCTTTAATTTTCAAACCATTTTCTTTGGATCTCCCGAAAAAAAGTTTTCTGGTTGCTCCATATAGATTGATTCCTCAATATTACCATTGAAAGTGCAGTTTTCACATCCATCTGATGAAGCTCAAGATCAAAATGTGCCACACTAATGCCATTATTGTTCTAAAAGAGTCTTTCGAAGATATTGGAGAGAAAGTCTCTTTATAGTCAATTCCTTTCTTTTGAGTGTTGCCTTTAGAAACAAGACGAACTTTAAACCTTATAACATTGCCCTTTGAATCCCTCTTGATTTTAAGTATCCATTTACAACTAATGGGTTTAATATCTTCAGGCAATGTGACTAGCTCCCAAAAGTCATTGTCACTCATAAACTTCATCTCATCTTTCATGGCATTAATCCATTTTTGAGAGTTAGAACTTTCCATGGCTTGACGGAAGTTGATTGGATCATCTTCCGCAAAACCAACATCTCATTCTTGTTCTTGGATCATCTTCCATCAATTCCCAATTTCCTCATGTTCTTGGAGAAATACAATATAATCATCCAGAATGGCACTTCTCCTCTCTCGAGTGGATCTCCTTAATGGCACCTCAAGTTCTTGAGGTTGTTGAGTTTGATCCTCATTAATAATTTTAGATACTAGATTGACGATGTTTTCGAGATTGTCCTGAACTGGAGTTGTTTCATGAACATTATTAGGAATAAAAATATCTTGATCATGTTCAATGACAACTGAAGGAAGAGTAACATGCTCTTCGTTGACCTTATCTCCCCGCCCCCCAAACTCAATATCCTCAAAGAACCGGACATTACTCGTCTAAAAAATAGTCCTGGTGGTGAGATCATAAAACTTATACCCCCTTGACCTCTCAGAGTATCATACAAAATAACTACTAAGTGTTCTAGAGTCCAGATTCTTTTCATTTGGCCTATATGGCATTGCCTCAGCTGGACAACAACAAACATGGAATACTGGGTTTTTTTCCAGTTTAAATTTCATAAGGGGATTTAGTTGTAGCTTTAGTGGGAACTCTATTGAGTATGTAAGCTGCAGTTTTTAGTGCCTCTCCTTAAAGTGAATCTGGTAAAGTAGTATGACAAATCATACTCCTAACCATGTCCTTCAATGTACGGTTTCGTCTCTCAGCAACACCATTGACGTGCACTTTGTCGTGGTGTGCACTCAAAATAATATTCAATACAACAAATATACGTAGTGTATTGAAGTAAGGTTCGTATCCACAGGGAAAGAAATATTTCTCTTTTTAATTAAATAGTAACAAGGTTTTTTTAGGTTTGTTTGATTTTAATTAATTAAATACGAAGATGAACGACTTATATGAGTTTAATTAATAGAGATGATGACTTGATTTTGCTTTTATCCACTTAATGAAATGTTCGTCGATCCCGGTTATATCTTTAACTATCTTCCTCTCGAATACTCAATCGAAGAGTATATCCAATTCATCGAGGGTAGTTATCAATAACGAGACACATTCATTAATAAAACTTACTACCGAGTCAATATAGAACACGCGCCGTATATTAACCCGATAGTAGCAATAAACTTAAGATAAAAAACGATTGAGATTGATAACTTCAACACAAGCGGTTTATTGGTTTAATCAATATAATTAGAGATATTACCCAAAATAGGACTAAAAGAGTTAGAAAATTCCAAATTAGGACTGCCATGTTTTTATTCCCAAAATAGGACTAATTACTGACATGTTTTGGCAGTACCAGACTTCAAACATGACAGTATTTTTGAAACTTGGCAGTAATTACTCCTATTTTGGGAATAAAAACATGTCAGTCCTATTTTGGAATTTTCAAACTCTTTTAGTCCTATTTCGGGAACTTTCCCATATAATTAATTCCCCTTAGATAATTAACCATGAGACACATGCATTAATAATCCAAGTTTACTACCGTGAAATGACCGAACGATTAACAAGCGTATTCGTCGATCGATTCTAGTATTAATTAATATATGAAACAAAACTAGTTGATCCTTTAAGTAATGCTCAAAATATTAATATGAAATATGAATAGGAATTAATTAATATTCAAGGAAGAATATTAAAGAAGATAAAGCCTACTATAACTAATGTCAAGATGTTAACTAATTGTCATCTTAGCAACACTCCCCAACATTAATATAGAGACAATATTAAGGGAAAAATTAATATTCAAGGAAGAAGATTAAAGAAAATAACTCACAACTTACAATTCATTAAGCTTCAAAGTAGCAAAATCAGGATGGAAGAGTTTAGCTCCTCATTTGGAGCTAAAGAGTTTAACATGATAGAAAATATAAAGAAAACACCCGATCGGGTATCCTGAGAAGGAAAGGGGGTGTATTTATAGGTGTTTGGAGGTGACAGGGTCATTTACCCGACCGGGTATTTGAAATACCCGATCGGGTATCCTGAGAAATTGCTCAGAAGCTTCACTAGTCACATTATACCCGACCGGGTAAATGATTTACCCGATCGGGTAAAAGACAAATCTTTGCCAAATCTTCACCATGCACGTTAAATTGCCTTCAAATCAGATTTGATTTTTGAATCAAGTCAATACCCAATCGGGTATATGCTTTACCCGACCGGGTAAATGACTATTTTTCCAAATTTCCACTTTATATTGTTCTCTTGCACTTTCCTTGACCTTTGTAAGGATCCTCTTGATGATCTTTGTCTAGTTAAAGCTCAGAATAATCCTAATCTAAACAAATTACAAACAAATAGGAAAAACAAAGTATTACACCAAAAGTGTGTAATATCCCAAACAACAACAAATAAAACTAGTTAAAATTACAAACATAGATAATAACAATTTTATACTATCAACCATTCATGCTAGGAGTTCCTGGCATGGTGTACTAAGGAACAATTCCACACTCCTCTGGGAATTTAGCAAATGACCCTGGACGTTGTTCACCGGAACCATCATATCTACCATAGTACTCACCACCACGGTCAGATCTAACGGTTTTTTATTCTTTTGCCTAATTGATTTTCAACTTCGGCCTTATAAGATTTGAACATGTTTATTGATTGTGACTTTTCATGAATGAGATAAAGGTAACCATAACGAGATCAGAGTAATTATCTATGAATGTGATAAAATATGTTTGACCATTGCTACATGGTGTAGGGAAAGGTCCACAAATGTTTGTATGCATCAATTCTAATAGATCTGAAGCTCTCTCGGAATCTAATCTCCTTTTGTTCATTTGTTTTCCCTTAACATACACACTCAATACAAATATCAGAATTTGAGGAGTCAAGGGAATCAAGAATTCCGTCTAACACAAGTTTCTGAATTCTTTGTTCAGAAATATGTCCTAAACGCTTGTGCCAAAGTGATAATGAATTTACATGGGTTAATTTCCTTTTAGTATCACGAGTACTTACATGCAAGGTTTCATTATATGAGACAATTATATCAAGTGAATATAGATTATCGTAAACTGATAAAAGACCATTACCAATAAGTTTTGAATCTTGAAATAGACTAAACTGACTATTTCCAAATGAACAAGAATAACCAAATTTGTCCAATGCAGAAATAGAAATTTAATTCCGCCTAAATGATGGCACAACAAAAGTCTCTTTCACATCCAAATAAAAACCAGTCTTTAATAATAATCTAAAAAGACCGATAGCCTCAACTTTAACTCGTTTGACATCACCGACATAACTGTGTCTTTCACCATCAATTGGTTTTTGGCAGCTCGGACAACCTTGCATAGATACACTTATGTGAGTAGTAGCACCAGAATATACCCACCAAGTGTCTTTGGGTACCGAAATTAAATTAACCTCAGAACAAACAAGAGCAAGAGACATACCCTTTTTCGCAAGTCAGGCGTGGTACTTAGTGCAATTCCTTTTGTTGTGATTAGTCCCTTTGCAAAGAAGCATTTAGATTCCTTAGTTTGTTCTTTACTTTCCTTATGATGCTTTCTTCGAGGCCCTGAATTTACAGCTTCCTTAATATTTCTTTTCTTGCTCCCCTTAGAGGTAGATGCCAAATGAGCATTTTCAGTCTTATCTTGCTTTATTTTCTCTTCCTCTTGAACACAATGAGAAATGAGCTCATTGAGAGACCATTTCTCCTTAATGCAGTTGCAACTGACTTTAAATTGATTAAATTGAGAAGGAAGAGAGATCGAAACTAAATACACAAGCAATTCCTCAAGTAAAATGAGCTTTAGTGTACTTAGTCTTGAAGCAATATGAGACATTTTCAAAATGTACTCTCTTATGTTCCCCTTGCCTTTATACTTCATGGAAACAAGAGTGTTGAAAGAGTAGTAGTTTCCGCCTTTTCGTTTTTAGCAAAATGCTTTTCAAGTTCGGCAAGGAACAATTTGACCTCATTCGCATCAGACATAGTGCCCCTGAATGATTCTGGAATTGCACGTTTCATGATCATTAGACTCATGCGGTTTGAGTGTTCCCACCTCTCCATCCCCCTCTTTTCATCAAGGGTAGATGTGTCCTTAATAGTGGCGGGTTGCTGAGTCCGAAGTGCAAGGTCTAGATCCATGCAACCGAGAACAATCATCACGTTCTTTTTCCATACCTTAAAATTCGTGTCGTTAAGCACAATGATGCTATTAATATTAGCAGATATTGTAGCAGCAGAATTGTTGACTGAAAGAGAACAAAAATAATATAAATGATATGCTCTAAAAATTGAAATTAACTTGATAATTAATTTAAATATTAGCAAATCCCATCACAAGATACCTAGCGCAACATTCAATCATGTCTTTGGACATAAACTAAACTTGCAAGTGGTACTCTTGGTGTAATAATAAAATTTTGATAATGAAATCATGTCGAATATTAAGCCTTTCTTTGGACCGACTAAATATTCACATGAAAACCACATAATTATCACAAATTTTATTATCACAAATGTACTTACATTTCGGCCAAATAATACCTTTCTTTGGGCCGATTATTATCCGCATGAAATAAGAAAGTACACAATCATCTTAATATATGAGTTAATTAATTTCAACAAGCTAAGAGAGACTACTTTGGCAGCATGTTGTGTCAATTAACCAACCCAAATATTAAATCAAAACTGAAGAATAAAGTTGGGCGAATTTTTCTGGGTCACATGCAAATTAAATGTGTTATGTACAACTATAATTTGTAAAACCCATACCCAATCGCCGTGCGATCCCAAAATAGGGTCTATACATTCATAACACATACTCCATATTTTTTCAAGAAAAATAATCCATTCTAGTAATATAATTTGTAAAACCCGTACCCAATCGCCGTGCGATCCCAAAATAGGGTCTATACATTCATAACATATACTCTAAATTATGTATTTCTAATAGAACTTATATTGACAGTAATTACATATAAGTATTTAATCACCAAAACCGGTAATAATCACACATACGTACTTAATTACCAAATCCATAAAACATTTCCAAAATTGAATTGCCAAAAAAAAGAAGAAACATATCAAAATTCAATTTGATACACATATAATTCAGCAAACTGAAAAAACTGGTTCCGAATAAAGAACAAAAAAGGAATTCAAAACGTGATTCATTATGAACCATCTAAACCACATGCAGCAATACATTAAAAATACTTCGTATTAAGTGATTTAGTATCACCGCTTACAGATTATTCAAATCAAAAGAAATAACAAAAGATGTTCCTTATAATAATAATAATAATAATAATAATAATAATAATAATAATAATAATAATAATAATAATAATAATAATAACATAAAAGAATAACCATCAATCATCTTCCAAAAATCAATCGTAGGATTGATTTAACCCAAAAACAACACAAAAATTGAAAACAGAAAACCATTAACTATGCAGCACTCCAATATTTAGCAACATCAAAGGGAAAAAAACACCCACTGCAGCAATCTATTGGTCACGTGCCGCATATCAAAATTTAAGAACACAAAATATATGTTGGTCCAAAATAGGACGCTCGTAGGCTTTTCGGAAAGTTACGTAAGAACACTTAAACAGAAATCAAGAAAGTAAGAATAAATATGGAAATTGCTTAGGAGATTTAGTTGCCAAGAATAGTGTCTAGAATTCGCTTCCCCTAAACTGAATTACAACCTGCCTTTTATAGGCATTTACAAATCGTAACCACTATCGATAATAATGACTAATCAATTACAACATTAATACGGAATTAAATACATAATTAAACAGCGCATTAATTGCTTGACCGTTACTTTTCCTGGCTGGCAGGTCGGCCGGATTGGCAGGCTCCCCGTTGAGGGTAGGCAGGCTCCAGGTTGTGGACCTGGATCCACGGATCCAAGTTCGGGGCTTGGGCCGATTAGGCTCTAGGCCTAGTCCATAACTCCATCAATATAAAATCTGGGTCATCTATATGGATTCAATCACTATAAGCGAAAAATCCCAACACACAAATAAAACTCCGCCCCAGATACTGACTCGGTAGATTATGTGTTGAAAAGAACACACATGTCAATATTCTAATCACCGATTCAGATAAAAACATGAAACATCAAATTAAAAGATAATGATTTCGTTTGTTCATAAACTGCCGTTTCCTGAATACATTAGGAACGAATCGCATAAAAGCACAATCGCATTACCCGATTTCATTTAATCGAAAGATCATATGATGAAAGAAATTCCAGAAATTCAATCGTTAAGATTGAAACAAAAGTTTGAATACTCCAAATAATTCAATATGAAGGAGACTCTGATACCAATTGTTGGAATAAATCCATGAATACTTTAATCTTCGTATTGGAATTATCTAGAGAAATAACTGAGCGGAAGCGTATCTGACTCCATTGGAGATGATCTTTAGGGATCCCGGAAATGGAGGCTAGGGTTAGCGTCTTCTAGTTGATACACACCCTCGGGAATTATCTCTCTAGCGATGAGATGCAGAAAGATGGGATGACATGTTCAACTAGAGACCATAACCCCTCTATTTACAGAGAATGCTTAACCCTAATCAGCCCATTATTAATTAGCTTAATCCCGTGGGTCTCTACACATGTGGGTCCTATACCATATTAGATAACATATTAGCCCACTTAAATTAATATTCATAGGACCACTAATTTTCGGGCCTAAACATATAGATAGCATATAACATACAATTAAACCCAATAAATAATATATTGTGAATATTACATTTAGTATGAGTCCAATAATCCAAGAGATGTTACGAGTACTAGTTATTAGTGGTGCTCATAATATGACTTCTCATCATTGCATATATGAATTTCTAACTCACGCCTCACTCTAGATATATATATGATAATATATAATTGGTTAGGCATAATTTGAGTTTGCACCTCATTTTGTTCAAATTGACTTTTGCATCCCGTTTTTAAAAATATTTGTTTAAGCACCTCAATGCCATACAAAAAGACAAAAATGGTCCTCCATTAACAATTCTGTTGCCTTTCAACACATTCTTGATCGAGAGTCATTTTTGTCGATCTTTTCATATGGGGTCGGGCTGTAAAAACAAAGATTTTAAAAAACGGGGTACAAAATCCAATTTGGACAATAAAATAAGGTACGTGCAAACTAAAATTACCCCAATTTTTTGTCTCTCTCTAATATAGGAGATATATCTTTTTTTATAGAGAATATAGGAGGTATATCTGCTTGGACATTATGCAACGATCAGCAGACTATTGCTACCAAGGCAGGAAGTATCCGCTTATCAAAAGAATTACTTCGTATGTCTCAGACCAGACCAGATCAAACCAGACTTAAACAGACCAGACCAGACCAGACCAGACTTAAACAGACCAGACCAGACCAAACTTAAACAGACCAGACCAGACCAGACTAGACTTAAACAGACCAGACCAGACCAGACCAGACCAGACCAGACTTCCGTAGTTATAAAATACACAGAGACCAGACGTTTACCAGACCAGACCAGACCAGACCAGACCAGACTTAAACAGACCAGACCAAACTTAAACAGACCAGACCAAACCAGACCAGCAAATTTCAGTCCAAAAGAAAATATCCTAATGAAATTTTATCGAGCATGCGGCGTGCTCTTTATTGAGCACGTAACGCATGTAGACGTACGGTGCTACGGCTCATGATATCAAAATACTTCATGCTCCGTATTTAGTTTAATTAGTAGCCCGTATCATATGTATAATCACATGTATAATTAAAGTATAGACGTGTAGTTCCTAATTTCAATCTTGACCAAATAATATGAATTTGATTTAAAATAATCTATAGTTATAATAGTAAAGCTCAGTTTTAAGTTGCTGATTTGTCAACCTCTCATTGGCTAGAAGAAAATTAATTAACTCAATTTCATTTTAAAACAATCCTATTATCTTCTGCCGATCTGTTCAACAAATTGCGGTCTGCCAGAGTTATTGATTACGCCACTCGGTTCAGCAAAAGTCTATCAACAACTTATCCCTCAAAAAAACTTATCAACTCATTAATAGCACCGAGAGTCCGAGAGTGTTGAAACTGAAGTCAATGATTGCATGTTGATAAATACATTAATTAATGACTGCATACATTAATTAAAGACCACATGTTGATAAATTCATGAATACATTAAATAATGACAGCATATTGATAATTCCATTATCAATAAAATTCTTATTATTCAGGAATAAAATTCTGATTCCTGAATCTATGCCCAACAGATACAACATTGCACATAAAGCTTCAGAGGAAACAATTCCCAGTTTTAGTATGCTTTGTTATGACCATCAACAAAAGCACATGGACAACTATTTTGGAAAAAGGGGTATTCACGCATGGACAACTATATGTGGCTGTTTCAAGAGTGACGAGTAGAAATGGGTTGAAAATTTTGTTGGGTGGAGAAGGATGCAATACAACAACAAATGTTGTTTACAAAGAAGTCTTCCAAAATGTGTAATTGTTTTAAAGCACATGAGTAATATGTAGCACATTAATATTTTTCACTTCACTCTACCTTTTTTTTTGCATACTATGAACTTTTTTTCAAGATATGTGCTAATAAAAAAATGATAAGTAAAACTGAAATAATAATAATAATAATAAATCAGACACACATCAATCCTTTAAAATCCTCTTTCTCATTTGTAAACAAACTATTAGTAAACATAATACGGAGTAATAATTTTGTCAATAAAAAAAGTTATTAACAAGTTCTTTACAAATATATTGCGCAATCTTTAATAGTACTACCTAAAACACTATTTTTATTCACATTAACATGACACTACCGGGGCATGCCCCGGGTGTT